TAACCACTGACACCATAAGAAAATGTGAGAATTCTATTATATTTGGGATAATTTAAGAAATTATAGTATATATTTGTAGTATATGCTTAGTTGTGTTTATTGCAGCTGAGTTCTACAATGCTGTGCTTCCTTTATAATTAACTCTGTATTATTCTTTCTGATATAATTCTCCATACTACATTCATACTTTACTAGCAACTAACTCATCTCTATAAAGAGTGACACCAGATGAGCACTTGTATCTTAAATTCTTTGTTAGTTGATCTCAGTAGTATGGATTTTTTTACTTCTGTACAAAATCCAGGTCTTTGCCCATATCTCCAGATATGAAGATGTGAGTCATTGGTTCTTTAATGGCTAAGCTTAAGTGGTTTGTTAACAGGCCTTTTTCTTTTTCTCCACTGCATTTATATCATTGACCTTTGCTTGAAAAAGCATTCAACAGTCTTTAACAGAGGGAGACCATGAAAGGGGGTGTTGTAAAGACTTTATTCTATAAAAGAAGTCACACAGGGAAAGCTTTATATTTGCTGGGTGATTTAATTCTTATACATGTAGAAATTGGCCATGGGCCATGAGTAACATGGTGGAAAAGCACTGCTAGCGCAGCCTCACAATTAAACTTCCCCACTACATTCTACATATTATTTTTAAAAAGAAAGAAAAAAGCATCTCCTTTCCTCTTGTTTTAAAGTCCACCCAGGAAAAGTGAAGCATGGTGTCTAGACTAGTCAGCTGCTTTATCACGATTCTTAAAGCCATTCATGGACATTTTTTTTTTAACCAGCAACTATAGAGCATATACTCTAGGGTGAAAGACGTCTGCTTAGATCCGTCTTCTGACTGCCCAGAGCAGAATTATGAGAGTAAGTCCACTTAGAAGAATAGCAACTCCTTTGAGAACTCGGGTTATAGCTTATATTATTAATAATTAATAATATTAATAATTATTAGCATAACTTTAATATAATTATTAATATTAGGGGTTTCAAGATAATACCTTTTTCTTGGCGGTGGTGGGTTGGGCAAACACCGTCACTAAAAATAACTGTTTATTCCTCTGTATACTGAATAATCTAATGTCTGTAGAGAAATGAGGGACAAGCATATTTTGATTACCATTTTAAGAGCTTTGGAAATTGGCTGGTGAAGTGTTGCTAGCCATTCTCTGAAAAGTACATTTTCTCCTTTTATAATTTTCTGACAGTATATCAAGACTTAAATTGACTGCTTACTTCTTGTTGAGTCATAAGATAGTCCTGAACTTCATATTTGATAACTACAGATTGACTTGACTAGATATTTAAGTACCTTGGGATAGATATTCTTGTGTAAGACTGCACGCAGATATACGCATATGTATGTGTGTGGATTTTTTTTCTGTTCTTTTTAAATTTTTTGCAAAGTTACTTAGAAGACGTGGTGGTGGTAATGTAAATTTCTGTTGCATTTTAAAAAAGTAATGCTCGTCTTCTATACTGTTATCAGTACAAATTTTAATTAAGCTTTAAGTATCAAAATATTTGGGCTTGTATCTGAGAATCTTGGACTTTGTTAGTCTGCAGCTTCTCTTCAAGCAGTAAGGACTCTTAGCTTTCATTAAGGAACACCTGAATTTACTGGCAGTGAAAAGAGATGGGGGTTTATTCTGGCCAAGACAGAAACAGCTCGTTGGGGTCAGAACCTAAATAAAGGGTGAGTTGTGGTACCTGGAAGCTACAAAATGGAGCTTGGTACCTAAGTGGGTATCAAGTTGTTTGGCAGGCAAATTTCTTGTATAAATTTAGAGTCAAACTTAGGGAAGGGTAGGTATCATGGTATAGTAGGAAAAGTCTGGCTTTGTATAAATAATTACAAGGTATGGACAATAATGTTAACCTTTCTGAATTTCCTTGATAGTAAAATGAAGATTATGACTTTCACCTAATAGAGTTATTTTGAGGGTTAGAGAGACTATCCAGAGGGTGCCAAAAATATATATATATATACACATTTTAAGATAGGAAAGCTGTATTAAAATTGTAATACTCAGTATATACCAATAACAAAAGATGAATACAAGTCATATTTGATTTCTGCAATTACAAGAGGTGCTCAAAGTGGTTACCATCAGCATCCAGACACTGCTGATTATAGTGAACTACTGCTTGAGCAACGCTGACCAAAGTGTCACTTGTATACATTTTTTTTGGCACCCCGGTATATTTATTGACATAGGCCCTCAATAAATGATGGTACATTGCTTTTATCATCATCATCATCATCATCATCACCACCATCACCATCACTATCACTATCACTCCATTTACATTTTCTGTAAAATAATTTGTTAGCCAAGAAACTGCATAACCCAATACACTAGGCAGCTTTAAGATAGAAATACAGATTTTGATAAGTGGCGTCTCTGGATACTGGCTTTCTTTGCCTTTTGGACTGGTTTTGTTTGAGGAAAGCCCTAAAAAATATTTCATGTAGAAATTCTTTTCTGCTTTTCTTCCCCTTTTGGCATACCCGGAGATACTGCAGAGAACCATGATAAGTGGGAGGGAGACGAAAGCTTCAACTTTAGCCACTCAAATAGTTCTTTTTTAGGGATAGAAGGCAAAAGCCTCCTTCCTTTGCCCAGGGGATGCTGATGAACAGAGAGGCACATCTCAAATAATAGTAAAAAAATAATCCTTAGGTTTGTATCCTACAAGTAGAATACACACAGTTTAAAATTGCTTTACTTCCATTCTGCAAAATTCAACCCAAAGTTCCAATAACTCTCAAATGTAGAACTTTTATTGTTACTACAGAAATAGGAATATGGAAAATAGTAGGGGATTACTTTAACTGATATATGTGCTGTGTAAGTATTAACAATTTGAGCTTGGGCTCCTGAACTAAAATTAACATCATAAGGTCTCATTATTAGGAGCTGATTCTCTGAAAAAAATTATATTGAAAAGTGGTTCTACCTTGGATTGTCTCCCATCAAATATGATTGGTGCCAAAATCTTCTCAGAAGAAGTCTAAAATTTTGAGGTCCAGAATGAGCATATAAAGAAGGATCACCCTGTTGGAAAAAGGGGAAAGAATTTTAGCTGTTCTGAGAACCCTGGTAATTAGTGTAGTTTCTCATCTTTCTTTTGCCCTCCCAGTGCTTAGCTCTAAAACTCAGTTTCTGTATTTATTGAAAATTTATTTATCAAGCATATATTAAGTGCCTATAATAAACCAGATACTATACTAGACTCTGAAGATATTAAGATGGCTAAGATATGGTTGCTGGACTTAGCAAACTTACCAAGTATGATGTAAGAAGATGTATGTAGTATATAGAATGGAATATTACTTGGCCATAAAAAAGAATGAAATCTTGGACATTTGTGACAACATGGATGGATGTAGAAGGTATTAAGCTAAGTGAAATAAGCCAGAGAAAGACAAATACCATATGATTTCACTTTTATGTGGAATCTAAAACAAACAAACAAACAAACAAAACAAAAACAAACTCATAAATACAGAGAACAAATTGATGATTGTCAAAGGGGAGGGAGTTAGGGGTCTGGGTGAAAAAGGTGAAGGGATTAAGAAGTACAAATTAGCAGGTATAAAGTAATCATGGAGATATAAAATACAGCATAGGGAATATAGTCAGTAATTTTGTAGTAACTATGTATGGTGTCAGGTGGGTACTAGACTTATTGGGGTGATCACTTTGTGAGTTATCTAAGTGTCTAATCACTGTGGTGTACACCTAAAACTAACATAATATTATATGTCAACTGTAATTGAAAAAAAGTGAAAAAAAAAAGAAAATAGTCATAGTACAATATCCATAGGCTTGTGCTAGGTCTTGAGGATAATAATAATAATAATAATAATAATAAACTACATGATAATCTTTGTCTCAGGTCTTCAATCATTTAACTAGAGAAACAAGAATTGCATATGTGAAATGTACAGTGCAGAGAATGTGAAGTCGGGAAGCTAAAAGATCTCTGTAGACCAGTCACAGAAAAGTTTCATGGAAAAAGATGAGCTTGAAAGCAGAAAAATTTTTGAGAGGTGAAGAGGAGGAAAAACATCCTAAGAGGGATGATTGTAGAGGAGAAAACGATATCAAGAGATATTTTGAAAGAAAACTGGACAGAAATTGGTGATATATTAGATTTGAGTGATTGTAAGAGTATGGGGTAGAGAGAGAGAACTTGAAAATGACAGCAAAGGTTTAAGTTTCACTGATTGGAAAGAGATGATATTGATATAATGGACGTCTAAGAAAAGAAAGTAGCTTTATAGGAAGAGATGGGATACTAAAAAGAATGTTTTTCTTATTTTAGAGTTTTAGTCATTTGGGGTTTGACAGTCTAGAATTTTTATATGGATTTAATCAAGAAAGTGATAGTGGTCCCCATTATAGTCATTTTACGTAATTGAATTTCAGTTTAATTATCAGAAATATTTTAATACAGACTGGACCTAAAGTAGAAACTTATATTGCGTTTCCAGCATCTAAATGGGTATTAGTTGACACAGTCATTAAGATCCTGGTCTTCATAATCTTCATCCAGAAGCTCGGTTGGGTGAAGGTTAGATGGTTTTTCTTCTCTTCTCCAAACTGGGCAGTGCGGATGCTGATGGAACTGTGAAATGAGTCGGGCATGAGATGTAACAGTAGACCAGTTCTGTATGCCCCAGTGCTTGTTAATAAACAAAGATTTCTAAGCATTGGGACTTATATTCTCCTTGGCTCCTTTATCATTTATTTTAAACTACCCAAGTGCAGATGATTAAATTGTCACAAGTTGTTAGTGTTAGTACTATGTTATTGAATTTATAGTCGTGAAACTGTTCAATTTCCAAATCAAAATAAAAATCACTCAGTACTTCTAGTAACTAGAATCTTGTTGAAACAATTTCTACAATAAGATCACCTTATGATGGGATGTTCGGCAACAAAACTTTCAAACTGGTTTACTTTTGTTTATTGTCTTTGCTTTTCTTTGCAGTTCTGGGAAATGCCCGTGTAAAGTGGGTATCACCGGCGCTACATGTGATCGATGCCAAGATGGATATTACAACTTTAGTAAGAGTGGCTGCTTGCCCTGCCGATGCAATAATCGGTCTGCCAGTTGTGATGCCCTCACAGGTACACATTTTCCTTACCTTTTATGGAATTAGTCTATTGTTCTTTTCATTCTGAGGTCCTTCGTCTATAGGTTGATGCTTTCCAAACCATTTGTAAGTGTCCTTCTCCTCTAAGTTGGATGGAATAGGTTGTAGCCAGCCAGACTCCTGCAACAAAAGCTTGAAAAATAAAAATACATACATTTCAAAAGTCATATTGGTTGGAGAGCTATGGCAGCAAGTAGCACTGTATGAACTCAAATTCCAGAAAGGGTAGCACTCTTCCTATGACCACAGCCATTTCCTTTCCAGGCGACATTTGCTGATTCTGGGCACAGGCTAAGGAGCAGGCTTGGCCCAAGCAAAGAAATTCTTCTTGAGGAAAGAGCTACAAGAAGAGCTTTTGGCAGTCATATGGAGCTTGCATGATGGACTGGAAACTAGAGGGGTCCTAAAACAAGGCCAGTTTCACCTTAGGACATCAGCTGGCTGTGCAGGAGATGGAAACCTGGCCCAAAAGGCAGAAAGAAACCTCAGACTTGTGGTGCTTACGAGACAAAAATCTCTTTAGATTGAGAGGGGGTGTTACACTATGCAACCACCCCTCTCTCAAGACACTGCCGAATTTTGAAGGTATGTGGAGTGGGACCTAGGCTCAAATCACCAAAGGGAAACACAGAATCTGGTGCAGCCTTTCAGGACTGAGGACCCTCAGGCCTGTTAGGCTGTCAATCAAAAGCCTTAGAGGGTCATGACCAAGAATAACGACGAACCACAAGTGAACCGACTCATACTAAAATTGCAGTCCATCCTCAACCTATCTCGATTTCTGGTTGGACTGAGGTGATCCTCTTATTATATTTTCCTAACACAGGAAAGGGGAGTCATTTGTGGTTCCTTTATATACTGTGTCAGACACACAATAAAAAATACTAGACAATCCTCTTTGCTGCATCTACTGCGAGGATGAAGATCATTCTCAGCAACCAGACTGTGGACATTCCAGAAAATGTGGAATCACTGAAGGGATGCCCAATTATTGTGAAGGGCCCTGGAGGCACCCTGCAGAGGGACTTCAATCACATCAACGCAGAACCCAGTCTCCTTGGAAAGAAAAAGAAGAGGCTCTGGGTTGACAATGATGGGGAAATAGAAAGGCTCCCGTTCACACTGTCTGTAGTCACGTACAGAGCACGGTCAAGGGTGTCACCCTGGACGTCCGTTACAAGGTGAGGCCTGTGTGTGCTCACTTCCCCATCCATGTCGTTATTCAGGAGAACAGTTTTCCTGTTGAAATCTGAAATTTCCTGGTTGAAAAATACATCCACAGGGTTAGGATGAGGTCAAGTGTTGCTTGTTGAGTATCTCAAGCCCAGAAAGGTAAGTTAATTCTTGAAGGAAATGATATTGAACTTGTATCAAATTCAGCTGCTTTGATTCAACAAGCCACAACAGTTAAAAACAAGGATATCAGAAAAATTTTGAATCGTATCTATGTTTCTGAAAATGGAACAGTTCAGCAGGCTGATGAATAAGATCTAAGTTATCCTGCTACAGAAACAACAAGATGTTGAGTGATTCCTCAGACTTATTTGTGATATTTAAGATATGCAATAAAAGTCATATATTAAAAAAAATACTAGACAATTCTGAGGTAGGAAAATATGACCAATAAAGAGAAAAACAATGGAAGCAGACCCACGGGTGATCCAGGTGTTAGAGTTAGCATATGACTTTAAAATAACTAAAATTAATATTTTAAGAAAATAGAGGAAAAAACACAAAATATTTGAAATGAGGCAAAATTTCAAAAGAATCAGAATCTATAAAAAACATCAAAAGGACAATCTAAAACAAAAAAATACGACATCTGAAATTAATAACTTATTGCACGGACTTCACAGCAGATTGTACACAGTGAAGACAAGGTTCAGAGGTTCAAATATAGCTCAATTAAAAATGTCCAAAGAGGAAAAAAGGCAATGGAAGGAAGAGAGCAAGAAAACCATGTGAGATACAAACAAAAGCCTAACGTAAATGCAATTGGAGGCTCACAAAGAAAGGAGAGAGATATTGGGGCAGAAGCAATATCTGAAGAGATAATGACTAAGAATTTTCCAAATTAATGAAATACATCAACCTACACATTAAAAAAACTCAGCAAGCCCTGGGCAGTGTAAAAACAAGTGAACCACATCTAGGCAAACTTAGCCAAACTATTAAAAACTAAAGACAATTAACTTTTATGATCTTTAGTTTTCCTAAAGGTAAGGATTAGAAATACTTCCTTGGAAATCTTTTTTTCCCCCAACCAAAAGCTCAAGACACACTAGTCTGACAAGTACACATGTTTTTATGAGAGCAGGGTAGCAAAATATTTGAAATTGTGAAAGTACCCTGGAAAAATCTGTGTTGAAAGCTTATTTTTCATTCTAATCCTCTACCCTATGGTGAAACAAATACATTTAGAAGAAATTGTGGGTTTTTTTTTTCCTATTATGTAATCTGGTCCCTGCCTACTTGCCAGTTCTATCTCGTGCTGTGCTTTTTCTTTACTGTCTGTGATCCAGTCCTACTGGCTTCTATTCTTAAAACAAGTTATGTTCCCTTGTTCCAAGGTTCTCATACATGATCTTGCCTTTGCCTAGAATGGCCTTTCTAATACACGTCTGTTGCCACCTCTGGCCCCTTGACCTTAATAAATCATATCCTTCCTTCAGGCCTTCAGTTAAGGTTACTTCATTTGAAAGCAGTGCCTGGTGCTCCAGGCTAAATGGCAATTCCCAATTATATACTCTCATAGACACTATATTTTTTTCATAGCATTTATCACAGTTTGTGTATTTATTTGTGATTACGCATTATATATGGATTTAAATTCCACTTTGTTTTGTTCACCATTACACAAAATCTCTAGCACGGAACTTGGCACATAGTAAATACTCACTACATTTTTGTTGAATAAATGAACAAATGAATGGAAATACAGAGGAAAGATGAGTTTCAATGCTGGGTAATGACAGAGATGCTTCATCATACTGAGTTGATTTGAATTGCCCCCTGGATCTTTTACGGAACCAGGAAGCAGCCTACAGTGCTGGTTCTTCTCATTTTCCTTGCAGCAATGAGGTAGCGCTCTAACGTTCAGTAAATCCCAACCTGCCCTTGCTCTGGAGATAATTTAAGGCAAAAGAAATCCTTTTCATGGTTATGACTTCTAAAAGTAGCTAGTAATAAGATAAATAGTTTCTCTGTTTTGAAATATAATAAAAGTGGAATCCAACATGAAGAACTGCCAGTACTTGATTTAAAATCGCTAGCTTAATATAAAATCAGTCTTTTGTCTCAAATGAGATGTTTTTTCCAACAGTGCTGTGATACGGTTGCCCTCTGGTGGCCACTTACTATGTTCTCATAGTCCTTGTCTGCACCCCCTCGCCCCCTCCAGCCTTTTTCTATATTGCATATTTTAGATTGAAGTAGATTTTTAAAGTAACCTTTTGTGATAAGATATATTGGGGAAAACATTGTAGAAAGCAATTTGTGTACCAGAAGCCTTAAAACTACTTCCTTGATCCAGCATTTCTGTTTCCAGAAATCTATTCTGAGGAAATAATTCTAAATTCATAAAAAGCTTTATGTTCAAAGGTGCTCACCAAAGTGGTAGTTATAATTTTAAAAAATTAGACAGCCCTATTTATAACAACAGGAATGAAGTAAATTATGTTATCTAGGCAATATGTGGTTAAGAGCACAGAAGATGAAACCTTAACTTCACCTATTCAAATTACTTAGCCTGTTTTTCTCACCTAGAAATTTGGGATAATAACAGTAACTGCCTAATGAGTTCTTGTGAAGATTCAATGCAATGTATTTATAACACCCTTAATACAAGCCTGGCTCATTATAAGCAATGAACAAATGGCAACTATTGTTATGTTGTCATTAAAATGTTTTAAAGAATAATATATAACAACATGAGAGAGTGAAAGAAGCAGGGTATAAATGACATGGGCCGTATGTTTAGACAATTTAAAAAGCAAAATCCAAACCTCTATATATAGAATGATTTCAAGGAAAAGTACTCAAAATCTTTTTTTAAATAATTAAAAATTTTTTTCAATTTCAGTTGACATACAATATTATATTCGTTTCAGGTGTACAACTTAGTGGTTAGATATTTATATACCTGATCACCCCGATAAGTCCAGTACCCACCTGGCATCATACATAGTTATTACACTATTATTACCTATATTCCCTATGCTGTGCTTTACATAAGATGACTGTTTTAATAACTACCAATTTTTACTTCCTAATCCCTTCCCCTTTTTCACCTACACCCCCAACTCCCCTCCTGGCAACCATCTGGCAACCATCAAAATGTTCTCTGTTTCTATGAATTTTTTTTTTGTCTGCTCATTTATTTTGATTTTTTTAGATTCTACATATAAGTGAAGTCATATGGCATTTGTTCTTCTTTGATTCAAAATCTTAATGACAAATTTCTTAGGGTAATTTTTTTTCTTTCTACTCTCTTGCATTTTTCTAGATTTTCTTTATTCAACCCATATTTCCCTTAAAATGGAGGTGGGAGACTGTTATTTTTTAAACTAGAATGTTATGATCATAGAGTGTGCTTATTTGTAAGAATTGAGCGCCCACCAGTATTTATAGTGTCCCAGGGACACTAACGTGACCTTGGCAGCTGAACTGAGTTGACTGCTCCTTCACTCCTCAGGGACTTCCTTCACTTTAGGAGATCACACTTTCCTGTTGGTTTTTTCCCCTCCCCAGCCAGCTCTGCTAGACCTTCTGCTGTTCAGCTGTAAGCACTGGAGTGCCTCAGAGCTCAGTCCTTGACACGCTTGTCTTGTGCATGATCAGCTCCCTAAATGATTTCATTCAGTCCCCTGCATTTAATCTAAATGCCATCTACATGTGTACTGATTACCAGATTTACATTTCTTCCTTGATCTTCACACTCACAGATCTAACAGCACACTTGACATCTTCACTTGA